CATTAAAGCACATTATTGACAGTATAATGTAAAAAGCTGCCCTGGACATAAGTTAACCCAGCTTTTGTTCCTAAATGGTTGAGTTGCGTCCCCCCTCCTGCGGTTCTTGCAAATAAAAATTAGGGAGAGACTTTACTCAATTGAAGACCTACTTAGAAAAGTACCATCATTTGTATTTTCTATTCCATTTGTGTCAAAACATTACAATTATAGGCAAGCGCAGAAAACTCCCAAATGATTGACATTAAATGAAAGATATAAGCAGGGTATCAAAGCTGCGTAAAAATAATTCAACAGAAGCCCTGTGAACCTCCTCACTCTGCCCTGCTACTGACATCAATTGGCCAGATCCTTGAAGTGTGAAATAAGTTCCTTATTTCTCAATGGCCCTTGTTTCCTTTCCTGTGAGACGTGCTTGAATAACATACCGTAATTGGATCTTGCATATGAGTTTGTCTTGGAAGAAAGGGCTTCTGGTCCAAATGCATTGATGCTAAATTGGATAATTCCGGGTGTGATTCCAGTTTCTGCAGATCCTGAGTCCCCTCCCCCCCCCAAAAAAAGCCACTATACTTAGTTACATTATATTGGGCATCAGTATAAAGCAGCTCAGGATCCCGTCTCATTCTCCAACACAGTTAAGTCATACAAGACACGCAGCTAAGTGCAATTAGCAGACACTGTTTAAATGACAGCAGAGCATGGGTGAGGCGAGGAGGGGTTTAACTCTTTCTCTCCATTTTCTAAACCCACCATTGGGTTTCAAGGGAAACTCCCAAATCACACTTTTGGAGTCTTCTGAATTGCATATAGCAGCTTCAGAGTGGGATTTTTTGTTGGGATTGTGCCAGGGAGGGAAAGAGTTAAGTTTCCTCTCCTCATCCCCCACAATCTAGAGGCAGCTCAGGCTTCCCCTCTGCTGCTATTTACATAACAAAATCCATGTGCCTCTTAATTGCATTAAAGCAATACATATGATGTATGGTTAGGAAACTAACCTCTTAAGCCAGTGCTACTCAGCCCAACAATCCCTGTTTCATACAATATAGGAAAGTTTCGTGCATCCCTAAATCCCAAACAGCATCTGCTTCAATACAGGCACACATTTATGACAGGACCACAGCCGCTATGGATGTTGCCTCCATTTATTGCTGTGATTGTTGCTGCTGCTGTTTGCAATGGAAATCGGATCTGCCATAAGATACAGTAATTTCAATTCACCAGTGGACAACGGGGCTCCCTAAAATACCCCCCCCCAAAAAAAAAAATCAGTGGCTTTTTTTAGTTTGATGTGAGTTTGACACACTGTTAAGGTATTGGGTGGAAGTATTTGTGATAAGGCAGAGGGTGGCAGGTGGTGTTATTCTGCCTTCCCCAAGTCACAAGAAGTGCAAAGAAGCCTTTGCAGAATTGGTTTCCTTTAAAAGAGACTCTGTGCATGTTTATAACAATTTGTGAACCCCCTTACATGTGCGTTAAGAAGCTGTTTTAGGGCACAAGATCCCAGGTGTCTGGAGCCAAGGGTTTGGGCATCAAGAGCTCTACCATCCTTATTCCCTGATGTACAGGATCAGCAGCTTGCAAGCAGAGAGAGTCTACTGCTGGCTGATCTCTGCTGTTCTCCAGCACCAACACTGAAGATGGCCAGAGAGTATACTGCAGTTTCAGTTGAGCAGGAGCTCATGACCAGAGGAGCTAATAGGATCCCATTGGCTTGTTTGGGCCTGCCTCCTTAGTCCCGGCTGCTTATAGTAGCTTTGCTACTATTACTAGGCTTCAAAGTACTATGAGCTGTAAGTACACAAGCCTAAATTCACACACACACACACACACACACACACACACACACACACCTTCACTGCAAATATATTCTTTTTTCCAAGACACTTATCTAAAGCTTTTGTCCTTTAAGAAAAACCTTTGAATTCCAATCATCCGAGCAGATCCTTGATTACAGTGAATTGGCCTATTCGTATGAATGATTCTTCTCAACCCACCTTGCTCCAGGGAGATGTTATTGCTTACAAACATAACTTGATCATTACCATATATTTCCCAAGCCCTCCAGCTTTGTTGCCTCACCAGGTTTTGTGGTTTTTGCACTTTGCTGAACTCTTTCAAATGTTTGGCACATGAGAATCTTAGCTTTTGTACTGAGAGGCACATTTCTATCTTCCATGGGTTTATCTTTGGGTTAGTCAGCACAATCCTTTAAAATATGACTGAGCTATCGTTTTCCTTTGCATTGCCCTTATGGGAATCCTTCATAGCACGATAAGCAGTCCCTGTGGAATGGATTGTGGGTGGGGTAATGTCTTGCTGGGGTACATTATCCGTTTCGGGGACATGAAAATGAGAATGCACATCCTTTATATTGGGAGGGGATGTGTGCCCAGCCTTCAGAAAATTAGGCAGGTTTTAAAAAAATGGAATAATTTGATGTGATTCCTCCACCTATAATCTAAATTGGCACAGTCCCAGGAATACTGTACCCTGTTATTACCATGTGGTTTTTGAGGGGCATTTGTTTTATGCAGAGCTGCATTGTTATAGAACCCTTATAGAAAGTCACATCTAGCAAATCTAGATGGTAAAGCTGATAAAGCCTTGAAACAATAGTGATGAGAAGACTATTATTATTATTAATATTAGTATTATTAATCACTTCCCATGAAAATACCTCAAAGCGATTAATGATTTAAAAAGCCCCAGATTCAACTAACCCATTGTGCTAGCAGAAGCCAACACTAGAGCTTGCACTAGTGCAATGGGGTTCCCCCCCATGTCCCCTGTTCCTCCCCCAAATCCTCTCTGAAAGGTCAAGTGATCCCACCACCCCACAGAACAACGCACAGGCAGAAAAGAGGAAGAATCATTCTGCCTGGGAAACAGAACAGAAGGATCAGAAGAGTGCATGATTGAACTCTTCCCATTAAGAATTAAAATGACTTAAGATGATAAGAGCCCTGAAGGATCAGACCCAATGCCTATCTAGTCCAGCATCCTCTTTCCAGTAGTGCTCTATGGGAAGGCTACTAGCAGAAGAAGCATGCAACGTCCTTAACTTACTATTGTTCCCCAGTAACTGGTAATTCACAGCACAGTTGTCTACGTTTCTATGCGGAGATAAGCTCCCTTGAGTCCAGAAGGATTTCCTCCCAGGGAACTGAAGCTTCTAAGCCTGGACATCCTCTGAGCTTGGATACTGTGGGATAAAATGGGCACTGAGGGAGGTCATGCCCTCTGTTGACTAATCATCTCTACCAAGGACATGCACAAAAACAAAGTAGGCGCCTGGACTTTGTGTCTGTTCTTACATTTTACATTGCTTTTAAATTTGTTTCCAGTGCCGCACACACCACTCTAGAAGCTGGGGAAACAGAGCAGTGACTGAAATGACCTAACCTTGCCTCACACGAGACTTCTGTGCCCTGAGCAGTCAGCTGGAAACCACTAGACAGGAGCGCAGTGCCACAGTTGTGCATTTCAGGGTTATTGATTAAAACTAGAAATGGATATGATGAGGAGCGTTGCTGAGATCAAGGCTTAGAGCTCAGCCTCCCCATTCCAGAGGTCAATGGGGTTTTAAGTTTTGCAAACGTAATAGGTTCAAAACTATGCACCAGGTCTTGCAAGCTTATTGCAGCGGTATGAAAATATCAAGATAAAAATATCCAAATCTATACTTGCCCCCTATTTGCCTTGGGTGGATAAGCTTCTTCTACCTTTCCCCGTGCAGTCATATAGAATAGAAACTTTCAAAGTGGAAGCTGTGTGTGTGTGTTTTAAGTATATTTGCAGCTGGGAAAATAATCATGGAACAATGGTCTCTGTGGGAAATGTGGGATTTGCTTCAATTCAATATAGAAAAAGAGAACTGAGGACTTATGAAAATCTTCATTTGACTATTTCTAGGCTCAGCTTGAAGTGCTAGGTTTCAAAGAGCTGTGCAGAAACTGCCACTGGATGTGAGCTGGACTGGGAGAAAGTGGCAGCACGTGGGCAGGGAGGAGAAAGGGACCAAGACTCCTCAGGAAGAGGAAAGACTCAGTGTCCTTTGGCTGCACACCTGTTCATAAAATTATTCAAGGAAGGGTTATGGCTCAGTGGTAGAGCATTCACTTTGCATGCAGAGATTCCCAGGATCCGTCCCTGGCATCTCCAAGTGGGACTGGGAGAAAATACTGAAGATCTGCTACTGGACTAGATGGCCCACTGGTCTGTTGTTCCTAAGTACAGAGAAGAGGTTTAAGTGAAGCATTTATTCAACTTTTAAACAGCCCTTCATCCAATCATCCAGGGCAGTTTTCAAAATACTGGTGGAGGCTGGTCTATTATAGCAAATGGGGCACTTCCCTGCCTTCTTATGTGCCTCTGATCCAGGCACTGGCTGCCAGCTTCCCCATCCTTAGTCTCAGCAAGGAGGAAGATGGGAGCAAGGACTAGAATGAATTGGCTCTGTCTCTCATTGGCTCTAGCGTCACCTACTGTTGGGCTCCCTGCCTTCCACCCTACCAATCCCCCCGAACACCAAGTGCCACTGTAAAATACTATTTAAAACACTGCCAATAAAAACTATTTAAAAGGTTTTAATAAAATCATTCTTGAGTTTCAAACCACTTTAGTATCAACAAGTACCTACAGTGACGCTTTCCAGACTCTCTCGTGGCAGCCTAAGCAGGCCTTTAGATGGCTCTGGTTGTACTTGCTTCTGGCTCTGGCTCTGGCTCCACCTAGTGTTGACCTCCTGCCTTACACTGCATCAGTTCCAATGGGCACCAGCCACCACTGGTGGCTTTTGCAGGGAGCCTATAGACTGGTGGACCATCCCAGGATGCATAACAACAGCCTGCCTATCCAGCAGCTCTTTATTATGGCTGAAAGAAAGCGACACACAGACCCAGCTCACAAGCATTTTGTGTGCTAGGTTAGTGAGGGATGTGGGAAATAAGTCAAAAGCCCAGAAGCTTTATTGCAACCAGAGGTGTCAGGTGCTATTACTTTGTCAAACAAGCACAAAATATTTCATACAAGAATTGCAACGAGCGGACAACGGGTTTTCACTGTGGGGTTCGGGTGATGCAGAAGTGCTGGTTGATTAGCAAGTATCCACATCTCTCTGCATCCTCTGGAGACAAGATAGCAGTGACAGGGACTGACAAAAAGCTGTGAGCTCTCGAGCCAATGAGAACTCCCAGCCAGCACTTGTTTTATTTATGAACTCTCCAAGGCTTGATATTAAACAGAAGTGAGATGTTATCAAAACACTGTTTTATCTCATTCGGAGCCTCTAACCGTACAGGTACTATGGGAGGGGGAGGGAAGTGTTAGACCGCCTGCCTCTTCTGCCCGGTAACTGAATCAGCAGGAAGATTCCCACAAGGTGATCCAGGCAGCCTCTTTCAGCCTGGCGTGCTCCCCTTAGAAGGCTTATAACTGGGCGAGATGAGTCCCTTTTCCTTATGACTCTCTTCCATGGTCAGGCTGCCAATCTGAAAAAGAAATGATCACATTTAGACTGTAGGGTAGGCTTCTGCATGGATGTTGCATTGGTCACATAAGGAGTAGAAACAGCATTGTGTCTTCCAGACGTTTTGGACCAGAACTCCCAGCAGCCCCAGTCAGCAAGGGAATCGTAGTCCAAACCATTTGGAGGACACTGGACTGAGGAAGGTTGGAGCAGAATCTTTCCTCCAATATCTACCAGTAAAAACACCTGTCAGCTGCTGAGAGACCACACCCTCCAACATCCCAGTGAGGCAAATCAAAACATGACCTTAATGGAGGCTATGCCTCTCTCATCCAGGCCATACCCCCTTTCACTCAGGCCACGCCCCTTCCCTCGGCTCCCTCATTCCTTTGAGGATGGCAGTATCATCACCTGTTCCATTTGCTGTGCCTTCCAAATGGCTGATTTGTGGCCTTTTTCAAGAAAACAATGAATCGGACACTGGGCACCATCCAGAATTGGCTGGAAAGTAACATCGGGGGTCAAGTGTTAGAGGGTCAAGGCATTAGCAATAAAGATGGCCCCTCAGCAATGCACCTGCATGGTAACAACAGATCTCTTACATTCTCCATGGCTGCCATCTTGTCTCTTGTTTCAACTCTTGATATTGGCCAGGCCACTGTTATAATGGTCTGCGGGGCCATCTTGTGAAACGGGCCAGCCAGAGAGCTGTCTGTCAGATTCTTTTCATTCCTTCCCTTGCCTTCACTTCTTTCATGGAGGCAGCCATTTCCTTGCTTAACAACAGGGCTTCATTAACCATATTGCTAAGCACACCACAGAGCAGGGACCCAGCCCAATTAGGGCCCCTGCTGCTGTGGTTTAATTATTTAGGGTTCCCCAATGTGAAAAGCATGTTCATTTTGCTCCCAGCACCAGGTTTCTTTCAAATTCCTTGCAGCTGAGAATGCACTGCTGTTCTTTCATCATAAAGCAGGGCAGCATTAAGCATCTCCCCAGCTTGAGGTAAATGTAAACCAACGGCAGCCTGACCACCATGGCGAGTAGAGGATTCTCTGTCGTGCAAAATACTACTTTGCAGGACAGGGAAGAATACATGGAGCAGAACTTTTAGGGCTTCTGCATGTAATCATATGTGTGATGGACAATGTATACAATTGCCTGGGCTTTTATGAGCAAATGGTGGTAGATGTGAGGCTGCATGTTTCAAGGCAGAAGATGGGATCCAATTGGATTCCATTTGAAGCTCTTGTGCTCACAGCTGGGAGAAGGCCTTAGCTCAATGTTAAAGTACATACTTTGCATGCAAAAGGTCTCAGATTCCATTTCCAGAATATCCCGGTAGGGCAAGGAGAGAAACTCTGGATAGCAACTGCCATTAAGTGCATGCAGTGCTGAGCTAGATAGACCAATGGCCTGTGCTTCTATTGATCCAGTGGAGGTGTCCGCTAATGGAGGGGAAAGGAGGGGTTTTTTTTGCTAAATCCTCCTTACAACTATAGAAAGCATACACACACCCAGCGCTGTCTTCCATCCTGTTCTGGAGAGTCCACCAACTCTCTGAAATGGATTTTTGCGGGTGCTGGGGACTGTAGGAGGGAGGAGGGGTTGCATTGCATCTTCCATTAATGGACATCCCTCCTGAAAAAAACCCTTCTGCAGTTGCAAAATGGATTCCACCCAAAGAGCCTCAGGAAATGACTTGGTAAATTCCTTCCTCTGTGCTTCTTAATCTGTCACTCTCTGACCACATACTTTCTCTGGAAAGTTCATTTCACTCTTTTCATATAACCTCGCATATAAGGGCTGCAGTTGTTCTGCAGTCACTATACATTCTCATGTCAGTGTCCTCGAATGCATGCAAGATTCAAGTATAGACCTAAGGGTACATCAATCACAGCTACTTATGAGAGATTAATACTCCTGTATACAGTGAATATGCTTTAACCTATTTGCATTCACATACTGGTAAGAGAGATAATTTTCTCGTGCTCTCAGAAGTGCACATTAGTGTATTTCAGAATCCTTGGGCATTCTTTTTTTGAATGAAGTCCCAGTTGTTGCCTTATGGGACAGAAACGTGAGCTTATGCAATGAAACGGAACCTTTCTGGACAGGGAAAGTCCAAGAACCTAAGTTGTGTGAGACCTTATCTGAGGTTATCAGAATTCTGTTGGAGAACCTAGACCCTTCACATCAGGGGTAGAGAACTAGTGTCGTGTAGGTGTTGCTGGACTACGACTCCCATCATCCCTGACCATTGGCCATGATGTCTGGGGCTGATGAGAGCTGAAGTCCAACAACATCCTGAGGGTCTTATAAAACTACAGCTTCTAATGCTTCCTGGAAAGAGGGGAGGACTGATCAGCCAGGTTGAAGTCTATAGTGTGGACTGTGGATATGCCTTTAGACTACAGCAGTGGTTCTGACTTTTTAAACTAGGGCAGCTGAAAATTACTGAAGCTCACCAGTCACAGAATGGTGGTGCAGGGACAGAGCCAGTCTCAAAATGGAAGCAGATGGAGGCAGAGTTTGGCATAATCAGTTGGCAATTGCTGACATCACTTTCTACTGATACCTATTTCTTCTTTGGAAACTGCTAAATTCTTTGACCCAGTGTTTTCCTTGCACCAAGGAGTTCCATAGTTTAGCTTTTCTCAAACTAAGTACAGGCATTTGCTCCTTTACTCAGCATACAAGTTGCTGCTGCTACTGGCATTGACCCACTTAGAAGCCATGGGTGCAGCTAGGGGATGGGGCAGGCAAGTTGGGGGGCATTGGGCAGGCTGTGGCTCTGAGCACTACCTGAAAGTGACCCAAGGCCCAAACTAGCTTTTAATATTGTCTTGTTTCAAGAGACAGTTCCCATTTTAAGGGATCGTCCTTGGTCAGTATCATAAAAACTCTAGTGGGCATTCCAATTAACTATGAGGCACTGGTATTCCAGAGACGCAACATCACAGCTCCAGGTCCCAGGTTTTGACATTTTGCATTGCCAGTGCTGTTAGCTATTCAGCCTTGCCTTTAGCAAGATTCCCTCCCCTTTTCATCTTGATGCTGATCTTCATCTGAAGGAATATATGTATGTTGGGCCCTGGTGTATTGGGAGCCTAGGAAATAAGAGGCTTGATGTTTAAGGGACAGAACATCCCAGAATCAAATGTCTTGGGTTTCATACATGCATACAGTGGAAAAAACCACCTGAGATCATCTGAGATGCCCTCTGCCTTGTCAATCCAGAATAAAGCCCGAGATGGACAAGTAGCAGTTTAATATTTTTCTGCCAATTTGCAATCTCAATCTGTGGCTGCTTCAGCTCCCATTGTTTTGTCTGTGAAAGGCTTCTCTCTTGTGTGATACCAACCGACCAGGGATCACCTCATCAACATAGTGATTGACATCATATACTCAACCAATGCAGCTACATGGCAATATCATTGAGGGGGGAAACAAATCCTTCACTGAGTTTAGAACCTGAAGCAATCTGGGTTATTGCTCACTTTCTTTTTTAACTGAGACAGTTTGTCTGCTCACTGTCACTGTCACTTTCAAATTACAACTAAGAGGTTTGTGGCACCTTTAAGACTAACAAATTTATTATGGCATAAGCTTTCTTTGGACCACAGTCCACTACATCAGATGCATGAAGCATATTGCAGGTACATAGGTTGGGGGAGGTTATAGCACTAAATGTGCTAATGACAGAATGTCTGTGTTGTCATTTTATGAATGACCATTGTTCAAAACATAATTATCACCTTCTATAATTTTCTGAATTTCCTTTCCTTCTGACCTCACAAAGTGCATACTTCTGAACAGGTGATAGGGGAAAAATGTGTTTCTTGGAGAATGTCCATATTGCCTGGAGAATGTACCAAGTGCAGTTGTTGTTGTTTAGTTGTTTAGTCGTGTCCTGACTCTTCGTGACCCCATGGACCAGAGCACGCCAGCCACTCCTGTCTTCCACTGCCTCCCGCAGCTTGGTCAAACTCAGCTTGTTCGTAGCTTCGAGAACACTGTCCCAACCATCTCGTCCTCTGTCGTCCCCTTCTCCTTGTGCCCTCCATCTTTCACAACATCAGGGTCTTTTCCAGGGAGTCTTCTCTTCTCATGAGGTGGCCAAAGTATTGGAGTCTCAGCTTCAGGATCTGTCCTTCCAGTGAGCACTCAGGGCTGATTTCCTTCAGAATGGATAGGTTTGATCTTCTTGCAGTCCCTGGGACTCTCAAGAGTCTCCTCCAGCACCATAATTCAAAAGCATCAATTCTTCAGTGATCAGCCTTCTTTATGGTTCAGCTCTCACTTCCATACATCACTACTGGGAAAACCATAACTTTGACATATGCTCATTCCCCCAAGATCTGTTGGAGATTATGCATATTAGCCTGATAATGTACAAAATCCAACTGAGATGTTCACATCCACCAAAGCCTATTGGGAACTCTGCATAATTTCCAAGTATCTGGAAAATGTGCACCATTTCCTCTTCATGGATAGATTATATACACATTCTCCATGAGGTCTGGTGAATGTGCATAATGGCTGGTTGTTATGCAAATTAAACACTCAACTTATATTCTCCATAACATGTATCTATGGGAATCCAGATACATGTTCTTTGTATAATACACATAGAATGCTATCCTTAAATTTTCTTCACTAGCTGACTCCAGAGAGTCTCTCTGCTGCAAAAGCCCTCAGATTGGAAGGTGGATTTTCCACTCAGCTGCTTCTCTCTTTCTGTTTACGCTCTGTTTCTTTGGGTGATCGGGGAATGCTCCTGGCACATTTGTGGGAATGGGAGATTCGCTGCAGTGCTCGAAGCTTCCTCTTCTCTCCCCCCCCCCTTTTCTCCAACCCACTCATTATCCTAGGATAGAAATAATAGGTAATTAATAACTTCTCGAGAAGCATACATTTCCTGAGCATAATAATCCTCTTGGTGCTGAGCTTCCACAGAGATGATTGGTCAGTCAGGCATGCGCTGAAGGCATAGCATCCTTAGTGCACCAAGAAGGGATTTGGAAGGTGGGGGGCAAAGTATACAGTAGAAAACTAGGTTGGCATGCTTAGGTTCAAAACAACATTTCTTTCCTTCTCCTAGGATGTAGCCACAAAACTAAATTGTAACAAAACATCTGCAGTAAAGTTCATAACTTCTCATACAGTTTAACGGAATGGCTTCATAAACAAGTCACAGTGGGCCACTGTCAGTTCCTCCTCCTCTTTTGGGCCAAAGTATAAAAGGCCCTGTACTACCCAGAAAAGCTCCCCTGGATGGCATAGTGAAGATACAATGGAGGCAGCAAAGTACTTCATTTTTTGTTGTATTTTGGGTTTTTTGGTTGATTCACCTGGAGTTCTTCTCCACTTGCATTCAAGCCATCCCACCACTTGTCTACTTCCCAGTAGCATGATAGAGCCATGTAGTGGAACAAAATGTACAGTTCTTGCTGCCTTGCCTTTTGTGTTGCCATTTCTGTGCCTTGTGTTCTTCCTTGAGTCTTCTCACTGTTTCCCCAATGAACCTCCCTCTCCTTGAGAGTGCTGGCACATGCCCAGCTGACTAGCAACTCTACTAATCATATTCCTGGATTGGGACTGCACTTGTTGGGGCAGGTTCCCAATTTCCATGGACTCACCTTCCCAGTGAAGCTTTCTTTGACTGTAAGCAAAAGGTTCCATAGGAGTTTGATGAATGACGAATCAAGAAAAAGTATTAATCAATCAGCTAAAATGAATGCATGCCTATTTTATATGCAAATTCTGTTCAGCTGAAAGGTCCATTTTATGATGTCACACGCCATCATTCATATTCCCAGGTAAACAATCAAGGCAGGGTTGTTGTTTTTTTAATATAGATGTTTTCCAGGGAGAAATGAATAGAAATCTGAAAATTAGTCATAAACTGAAAATCTCAAAGGGATTAGCTAGGTGGCTGTTGTTTATAAACTGAAAAAAGCCTTTATTTTCTAGCTTAAAAAATAGATTCTGGTTTATGTGAAAGAGAATGGGCTGGCTCTTTAAGCCTTAAGGAACATGGCCTTTATTCATAAAACTATTCATAAATATAGATTATGCCCACCTTGAAACTCAATGGAATTCCCTTCCATCATTTGCATTGTTAATCTAGGCCAAGGATGTGCAACCTGTGGCCCACTGTCAAAAGCCCTCTGCAAGCAATTGCGTCACACTTCTGGCAAGGGTGACCTATTCCTCCACTGGCAGCCCATGGGGAAATGGGGGAGGGTAGAAGAAGGTATCAAAAAGACAGAAGTGATAAGGAAAAGTGGATGGCAGCACTAGCAGGCAGTGAGACAGCAGTACTCACTTGACCTCCTGTCACCAGCGTCACTGCAACTTACCAGGAGGAAGAGGGGAAAGAGCAAGTTGGTGATGAGGTCAGTGCAGTGGAAACATGCCAATGTGTTTGCACCACGCTGACCCCACTGCCATATTGCCATTCTCCCTCCCAGTAAGCCACAGTAATGCCAGGTGATGGGAGGTCATGTAAGCACCATCATTCCACTGACTGCTGCTAGGTAGCAGAAAGAGAGAGGGAAATGTGATTAGCAGAGAAAGCAAGAAAATGGTAAATCCATGCACTTATGGTTGTGGCCCAGTGATTGCGAGCTTCAGTTTTGCCCACAATCGGTATGTGACCCAAAAAAAACTACTGCAAATAGATTGTGGTCCTCAATGCAGGGTGGGGGAGATTTGTCTACCCTATTCTTTTTGTTGTTGTTGTTAGAACGTTTATTAATTTTCCAATAAAAGACATCCAATTAACATATCAAATCATAATCCAATAAAAATCGACGGACGAAAGGTTATCTGATTTCTGATATGATTGAGGATTGCAGACCCAGAGATAAAAAATGGAGAGATAAAATCGAGATACGGAAATATGGAAATATTGATGAGAGGCAGGACTGAGATATGGATATGCTTCAAGGTTCAGACTGTGGGAAATCGTAAAATCAAAATTACAATTCGGAAGATAATTTGACTTTTTTTTTTTAGTTGTTGTTTTTTTTTACCCCATTCTTGATAATAGAATGGCAGGATATGAGAGCATTTATGAATGACCCTAACAGCGCTTCCTGCATGGAGTGGTAGCCCTGTTTTCAATTATCATAGCCAACTACATCATGATAGCTAAGCCAGTGCCATGGGCAGAATGACTCCAGCCTTTGCAGTAGGGTGAGCAGCTGCAAGAGAGGGTCGAGTTTTTGCAGTTGTTTAGAAGAAGGAATTTCATCAGAGGCAGCTTTTTATAGCATTGTGCTACCAGAATGAAAGAAGCTATAGCTGGGGAAATCTCTCTTCGGTGTAATATTAAAGAGGCAGGAGCCCTGTTTGCTGATTGCATCTAATCATTCTGTGGCGCATTTCAAAGAGTCTGTCTCTGCCTATAGGTTTCTGCATTTCTGTGTGAATGCTAGCAGGGCAGAGTGTGTGAATTAAGAGAAGTGAGCAGGGATGTTTTTGAGAAGCTCCAGAATATATGCTCTGATGTGAAGCCTGAGTGCATTTAAGATCATTGGAACTATTCTTTGCACCATGAAAAGAGAAGTTGTCAAAAGTGTAAAAATAAATTTAAAAAATACAACAGAGGTGCATATCCTCAGCAACAGAATCCTCTTCGCTCTCCTTTGTCCATGTTACAGCTGGTTTCAAGGCAGCCTTGTAAATAAGGTTGCTTCCAGACAACCTCCTTATGGAGCGTTTGTCCTGATTTATTTGCAGGGAGATCAGACGGCATTGGGTATTGATTGAACACTCATTATGATTTGACTGCTGGGAGATGATGTTGCATCAAGCAAATGTTATCCCACACTTTGCAGTGCATTTTCCCATCACTTTCCTTTTTGCAAAAAAAAATCTGATTTGGGGGTTGTGGGTGGCTTTGTTGCTCAATATCTAAATCAACGTTGATTGCACAACTTGCGTTTGCCAGCATGTGATGGAACCCCACCCCAAAACAGCAACCGTCTGAAATTGCTCTGAAACACTGAAAGGCACTAGTCAGCAAAATGTACAGATAAATAAAATACTATCCTGCTGGCAGCTTGAAAAGGAGGGATGGAGAGATTTGTCCTTCCTCCAACAGCCCACTGCCTTTTTTTAGCTGGATGTGGGGGACTGGCCTTTCCTTTTATCTTTTTGAATTTCTTTTATTGGGGGGGTATTTTTAAAAAATACAATTTAAGTTGATACAGAACAAAACTGGCAGAGCCCACTGGGTATGTGCTTCATGCAAATGATTCCAAGTATGGACCCCCAATCCCTGAGTGTTCATTCTCTTTGTGCCACCTGCTGAAGATAGCAATTTCATACGGGAGGGGCTTTTCCCTCTCTGGTAGCCTGCTTGGTTTCTATACCTTGCATAAAGGAGGATCAGAGTCTTTCTCTGCCAGCATGTACACTCACCAGCATGAAATTCTGACATTTACCCACCTGCCTGCCTTCAGTCCCTTCTCACCTGTGACTGCAAGGCTTGTCCTTAAATACAAGGCTGCATAACATTAAGGTATCTATAGCAGTGTGGTTCTCTTCAGTGTGCAGAATCCCAGATGATGAAAATCAAAACTGAGGTCAGTGTTCTATGCACCAGTCCCACTAAATGAGACTCACTTCCCTTGCTGAGAATAGAGACCCAAACTGTGCTCCTGGGAGATCCCACTGGCTCTCTGTGTCACAGTCTTCAGCAAACCACACCATTTGCTCCCTTTCATATGCATGGAGTTGATCTAGTTTCTAGTAGAAGAGCTTTCTGACCTTGTTATGCCCATGCTGGTCTCCCATCTCTCCTTTTTTCACTCACTTCCTTGCTGCTGCACACTCAAAATATATTTGGTCCTTTTCCAGCTCAGTTTCTTCCCTCTTCATCCATCAGGAACTGTGCCTAATTGGTAGAGAACATCAGAGAGTACTGTGAGAAAGGAATGGCTGTTGAATTTTTCTCCTCCGGAGAGCAATGACAAAGTTTATGATTTAATTTTGCTCTTTCAGAGAGTCTGCAAAGTCTATGCACACGTGCACACACACTTAAATGTATGTACATACATATATGTTACATGCATTCCTAGAAAGCAAAGTCACACATTCAGTTCAGAAAAGCCCTTCAGAAACATGGTTTGGAAACATGGAAGACCACTTATGATGGTTATACACACGTCACCAATGAAGAGGAAATGCATCACTGGGGGGGGGGAGGCAGATTAGCACATTCTAATTTATATCTACAGGTGCAAGTTTGGAAAGAATTACTAAGACTGAAGCAGAAATACATCTCACCATTGTGGGAAAGTCTAGTGGCCCGTGTCAAGAGCTCTGCTCCCCTTTCCTTTTTATTATTTATTGATATATACTGAAATATATCTATATCCTTAGTGCACAGGGTAAAATTAGATGTGACAAAGTGAGGAAGAGAAAGAAAGAAAGAAAGAAAGAAAGAAAGAAAGAAAGAAAGAAAGAAAGAAAGAAAGAAAGAAAGAAAGAACATCCATATGCTCTCCTTTCCTAATGTTTGGTCAAAATGACTTTCTGATGGTGAGAGCTGTTTGACAATGGAGCATCCTGCTTACACACAGTGTTAACCACAATCCACATCCATCATGTATTAATCCTGTTGTTTCCTATGAATTGCCAGATTTTGATGCATTTTCCCCTCGAACCAGCTTTGATTCTAATGGAGAGAGAAAACACAACCTTGCTGCATTTTCACCCAGTAATGTGTACACAGCCTAAGACAGCTACCCCTCTGGAAACAAATGCACGTGTTTCCTAAACATGGGGCTCTCTCCTTCACACTTTACGCTTATTTATTTCAGATTTGGGAAGTGTTCACCTAAACGTGTAATGTGAGAAGCAGCTTCCAACTCGACTGCGAGCAGCTGGCAAAAGAGATTCCTCGGTTTCCTTCTGCCTGCTTCTCTCTGGTCTCGGATGTTTCCTGATTACACCTGACGGCGCTTTCCCTCCCCCAGCCTTACATTGGTCATGCAGCAGTGCCTACTGCCACTTGGGAGAGCTGCTTTTCATCTCCAGGCAGGCAGTTCTTCTTTTTTCCCCTCCCGGTGTGAAATTAACAAGTTGAAGCAAAGGCAGGTCGGAAATCTCCGCCCCCCCCCCCCCAAAATGGTCTAATCTCCAGTCAGACGTGACTCCAAGGCAGCTAGTGGTAAAGTGCTTTCAGAAGGCTTGTGTCTCCTTCATTAGGAAAGGTCAAAGCCAATCACCCCAACGGTAGTTTGAGGAGAACAAGATACAGGAGTCTTATTAGGGCGATCTGTCACTGGAGCCTTTTTGCTTTCTACAAGAACAGGTAGAAGAATGCAACATCCACAAGCCCATCATGGACTTCTTTTGCTGCCACTTTCCCATCCTCTGTAGAGGCAGGTGGTTGGTGGCCCTGGAGGGTGCACAAGAAATGAATGCAAATAGGCAACCTTATGATATTTTCTGTGTTCTGAGACTGCACAGATCTCATATGTCAAGAATGAGGAGCCTGGGGCCCTTTGGATGCTGTTAAGCTCCAGCTCCCATCAGTCTTAACCAACATGGTGAGGAAGGTTAGCTGACATCAAACAACCTCTGTAGGACCACGTGTTCTCCATCCGTATCATATAAGAATACGACTTTTATCTGTGATCAATGTGATCAGGATGGGCATGTGCCCTGCAATAGATTTTAAAGAATCATATTTATGTTTCTTTGAACTTTTTAAAAATAGATGTCATTGTTTTATGTGTGTGTCCTGATTTACAGTGGACATCCTTTTAATTTGAGGGCACTGTTGCAGCTGTGCCACTTACTGGAACAGGGTAGGGTATGGGATAGGGTATGGAGGCAGTGAGGTTAGAATTGTGCAGGTTCACCACACCAGCCACTCCTGTGAACTGGGCTAGTTGGACCAAGAGTGTGCATTGAAATGTGGGGAATATTGTGCTAGGTTTTTTTCTGATTGTAAAGCTAGTGCTTCTGTTCCATTTTCTAAAGTTCCTTTCATACTGCAGTACCAGTTGTGGCATGTCATGCTAAATTTCATTCACGCCATTGGGTAATGTCATTGCTCCCCTAATCTTTCTGCACCTGTGTATTTCTGTTCCCCCATCATTAACACATGACAACAAAATGAAAGAACTGTATGTGGGTATACTGCCCCAAATTCCATCACTTTACTCCAGTTATTTTCCAGGTTAACGGAGCTGCAAATGGAATTTTGCTGGAATAATAATAATAACAATAATAATAAATCTGAAATGAGCACTAAACATGTACTAATTTCCATTAATTTTCTGGAAGTCCATTTTATGTCATATGAAAGCTCAAATATAATGTGGAAATTAAAGTTTAGGGACAGTTTAGGGAAATTAACAGTTTGTATGGATGTGAATGCAGCCATAGAAAGCTGTCAGGGCAGCTTTCTGCATTTCTAACATACTAGATGAAATGGATGCTTAGTCCAGTCCAGTACAACTCTTCTTAATCAGTTTAAAAGGAGAGGGGCAAGGTCATTATTATGCATTGGAACAACATTAGAAAAGGAAAATTCATTTGGACACTTACAGCACAATGCTTTACATGTCTACTCAGACATAAGTCCTGCTAAGTTCAATATTTTTTGTTCCCAGGTAAATGGATGGAAAACTGCAACCCCTCAAACAGTGCATTGTCCTTCTCTTTGCTTTTGTCTCATATCAGCCTTTGGTCAGGTCAGCAGGGAGTTCCCTGACTACATATAGCAAGGATGGCATTTGCTAGCTAGCACATAGTGGGAAAATAAAACTCCTTTTCTCCCCCATGACCATGTGCTAGGAAAGACAGCTCTGTCATTTCATCGTGGACCAGAGACTTTAGGATCAGTAAAAACAAAAACACTAAATGCTCCACTTCAAGTACTTCGTGCCAAGGCTAAGGATTAACTAACTAACAGCTGGCATTATAAAGGTTAAGACAGATAATATAGGCTAAGAGGTGACTAAAAGTCACAGCCTAAGCTGACCAAGAAGGAATTGCTTTGTGCTTACTCCATTAAGCATTAGTAGTAACATGCATGTTGTTTATGAAGGCTTCCTTACCTGCATCAGTCTGCCTCGCCAGGAACCTGTCACTGTTAAATAGGTACAGGAAGCTGGACTGGATGAGTTGATGTCCTGCGCTTTTGTAGATCTCCAAATGGTCCCTCCATCGCCTGCTTTTTTCCTTTCCTTACCAAATGCTATGTCTGTGTTCTGTTGCTTTTGCAGGTGCCTCAGGGAGACTGGAATAATACCTTGACTAGGGACAAGGACAATGAAATCCCATGCCGGCGCATGCGGAGTGGGAGTTATATCAAAGCCATGGGGGACGATGACAGCGAAGACTCAGAAACCAGCCCCAAGCCATCCCCCAAAACTGCAGCACGGAGGCAGAGTTACCTCAAGGCCACTCAACAGTCACTGAGCGAGCAGAGCACCACCCACAGGTACTGCCTTCTTATTTCAGTGCTACCTGGTACTCAGTGAATACCTGCATCTTTGGCAGGTGCCTCAAAGACTGACATCTATTGTGGCATTCCTAGATTTCAGTGTTCAGTTTGTCCGACGCATGATGGGTTACTACTGGGTTACAGGCACGTGGTAGAGGGTAGAGCTGAGATTAAACAGTGGGCTCAGAAGGAAAAGAAATGCAGAAGGGACAGAGAGGGTGGTAATTGTATCATTAATGGTGTTCATTCACAAAAACAGTTGTTGATAGTACAGAAATCCTGGCATTGGTGAGTCAGTTAACATATGTAATGAGTTTGATTCGGTTTTGGTTTTTTATATATATAAAAAGGTTTATCACAATTCAATACAAATCAATGAAATATAGTATGAGCTACATCCATCTTCTTCCTTCTCAGGGATGCTTAAAGGGCTGTAGGGAAGATGGAGACCATATGACCATTTGAAACTGGTGGGTGATAGAATGGCATTGTCACATGAATAGTATTCTGAAGCCGACCTAGAATTGTGACTCCTTTGTTCACAACCCTAAGGACCAAGCTTTTCACATTATATATTGTTCCATTCACCTGACTGTGAGTCCCACATAACCTTTGATTAAAGTGCATTTGTACACAAGCTAGGGCTGAGATGAGCACCATTTCACAGCTGATTTTCCTGGTCATGGTTAGAAGGATGAGGGTGCAAAAGATGTTGAGGTGGAACTTCCACAAAATTATTAAAACAAGATGTTGAGGTCTGCTTACTCCCTGCTAGGCATAGCTGTCAACTTTTCCCTTTTCTTGCGAGGAATCCTATTCGGAATAAGGGAATTTCCCTTTAAAAAAGGAAACGTTGACAGCTATGTTGCTAGGACAGAGGGATTGCAAGACCTCAGACAAAAAGAAACAAACTGAGAGCCAGTCTATAAGTTATATTCACCACATGGGAGGTCCTGGAAATAGCCTCCACACAGCTGGTGATTCCCAGCACAGCTGTAATGTGTAAAATGACATCATAAAAACATAAGAAGAACCTGCTAGATCAAGCCAGATGCCCGTGGAAAGGTGGCAAACAGGACCCAGGCACAAGAGCGCCCTCCCTTCCTTTGGTTTCCAACAACCAGTATATATAGAATTCTACAAGTTTCCATGCCCTGCAGTCAGCATGGGGACTAGTATAAAAAATGTTTAAGACAGCTTTATTGCCAATATTTTATTTCACCTGCATCCCTGTGAACATCTCCTTCATGCAAAGTGGCCCTTGACAGTTTCCTGCCCATTGAGGGTTGGACTGGAAAGTGACTTCAACTGCCCTTTATTCTCCATGTAGATTAACAGAAGAGAATAATAATACAGTGGTGCCTCGCAAGACGAAATTAATTTGTTCCGCAAGTTTTTTCTTCTTGCGAGTTTTTCGTCTTGCGATGCACGGTTTCCCATAGGAATGCATTGAAAATCAATTAATGCGTTCCTATGGAAACCGACTTCAGAACAGGTCCGGGGACAATCTGTCCCCCAACCTCTTCTGAAGGCTGGGGGGGCGAAAGTCTTTGCTTCCCCCCCCCCACGGCAGCATTTTAAAATCGCCCCGGACAGCGGAGGACTTCTCCGCTGTCCGGGGCGATTTAAAAGCCCCTGGGAAGACGGGCAGGGGGGACAAAGACTTTTGCCCCCTGCCAGCCTTCAGAAGAGGTCCTGGACCTCTTCTGAAGGCTGGCGGGGGGCGAAAATCTTTGTCCCCCCTGCCTGCCTTCCCGGGAGAGCGGAGAAACGCAGCACGTTTCTCCGCTCTCCCGGGAGGGCTTTTAAAGGCAGGCAGGCAGGGGGGACAAAGATTTTCGCCCCCCGCCAGCCTTCAGAAGAGGTCCTGGACCTCTTCTGAAGGCTGGCGGGGGGCGAAAATCTTTGTCCCCCCTGGCTGCCTCTCCCGGGAGGGCTTTTAAAGGCAGGCAGGCAGGCAGGGGGGACAAAGATTTTTGCCCCCCGCCAGCCTTCAGAAGAGGTCCTGGACCTCTTCTGAAGGCTGGCGGGGGGCAAAAGTCTTTGTCCCCCCTGCCTGCCTTCCCAGGGGCTTTTAAATCGCCCCGGACAGCGGAGAAGTCCTCCGCTGTCCGGGGCGATTTTAAAATGCTGCCGTCCCGGGGGAGCAAAGACTTTCGCCCCCCTGGGAAGGCAGGCAGGGAGGCCAAAGACTTTTGCCCCCCGCCCGCCTTCAGAAGAGGTCCTGGACCTCTTCTGAAGGCGGGCGGGGGGCGAAAGTCTTTGCTCCCCCCCCCGCCTGCCTTCAAAAGCCGTCGGGGAGAGCGGAGAAGCGCTGCGTTCTCGCTCTCCCGGGAAGGCAGGCAGGCGGGAGCAAAGTCTTTCGCCCCCCGCCCGCCTTCAGAAGAGGTCCAGGACCTCTTCTGAAGGCGGGCGGGGGGCGAAAGACTTTGCTCCCCCGGGACGGCAGCGTTTTAAAATCGCCCCGGACAGCGGAGAAGTCCCCCGCTGTCCCGGGGTTTTTTAAAAACCTCTCCGCCCCCCTGCCAGGCTTCGGAGCAGCCTTCCGAAGCCTGGCGGCGGGAGGAGGTCCGAGGACAGTGGGGAAGACGCGCTTCCCCGCTGTCCCGGAGATTTCCCTATGGGCTGTCGTCTTGCGAAGCAAGCCCATAGGGAAATTCGTTTTGCGAAGCGCCTCCAAAAACGGAAAACCCTTTCGTCTAGCGGGTTTTCCGTCTTGCGAGGCGTTCGTCTTGCGGGGTACCACTGTAATAATAATAATAATAATAATAATAATAATAATAATAATAATTCATTATTTGTACCCCGCCCATCTGGCTAGGCTTCCCCAGCCACTCTGGGCAGCGTCCAACAAAGATTAAATATACATTAAAATGTCACACATTTAAAACTTCCCTGAACAGGGCTGCCTTCAGATCTCTTCTAAAAGTCAGATAGCTGTTTATTTCCTTGACATCTAATGGGAGGGCGTTCCACAGGGCGGGTGCCACTGCCGATAAGTCCCTCTGCCTGGTTCCCTGCAGCTTTGCTTTTCGCAGTGAGAGAACCACCCTCAGCACTAGACCTCAGTGTCTGGGCAGAAACAATGGGGGGTGGAGACTCTCCTTCAGGTATACTAGGCCAAGGCCATTTAGGGCTTTAAAGGTCAACACCAACACTTTGAATTGTGCTCGGAAGTGTACTGGGAGCCAATGTAGGTCTCTCAGGACCGGTGTTATATGGGTCTCAGACGCTGCCCCCAGTCACCAGTCTAGCTGCCGCATTCTGGATTAGTTGTAGTTTCCGGGTCACCTTCAAAGGTAGCCCAACATAGAGCGCATTGCAGTAGTCCAAGCGGGAGATAACTAGAGCATGCACCAATCTGGTGAGAACAGTCCGCGGGCAGGTCTAAGGTCCTACACTTTCCTTCCCACTGTTCTCCTGTCTGTACCCTGCTCATTCACCCCTGAGAGGGCAGAGGGGATCTCAGTTCAAAAAGAACCTGCATCCGCTAATGTAGTAGCCAAGGCTCTAGCAGAATTGTTTGATAGCTTGACATGGCCAGTAAAGGAAGTCACCTGTCTTGCTAGTTTGTAAAAATGCAAGACCTAGTGCCATCTGCTGGCCACTGAGAAATAAATGTTGCTTCTGTGTTTTAAGTACAGTACTGGTTTTGTGAAGTCCAGTTCAAACTGCCAAGATACCAGCACAAAAGAGGATCTAGAACCATGCTGCCCAGGATGTTGTGGGAATGAGTGTTTATAAAATTACAAATACATTAACTAAACTGATAGAAGTACTTAAGGTTCTATGTACACAGACTGACGGGCTTGGATAGATGCAACTTTGAGGGCATAAGAACATAAAAAGAAGCTGATGGGTCCTGCCATTCACAAAAAAGGCAGTAATTCTGGCCATGCAATCCTTTTTTTCCTTTTGGTTCCAAAAGTCCTAAGGAGTCAAAAAGCTTCCTTGAAAAGAACAATGGTAAATTGACTGAGTTAGATCTGCCAATGACAGAAGTCACATACAATGTCTTTACAGTAGCAATCCAATGCTCAAGCACCTGCATAAGCAATAACCTTTATGTTCACCCTGGCTTTTTAAACACTGTATTTTTTGTTTAATCTCTTAAAATCTCATATTATTAGTTTAGTCTCTACTTTGACCATGGCATTCTATTTTGCCCCCATGGGATTATTCTCTCTCTCTGTGTGTGTGTGTGTGTGTGCTGATTTATTTCTTCCAATTAATAGTTTATTGGATTGTTTGATTTGTGTCATGTATCACCTAGAGGAATTGGGCAAAATAGGCCAATACTAAATAAATAAATACTTCTGAATAAACATGTTTAGGATCACACTAATAATAATAGGTAAAGGTAAAGGACCCGTGGGAATGGTTAAGTCCAGTCAAAGTCAACTATGGGGTTGTGGCACTACATCTCGCTTTCAGGACAAGGGAGCCGGCGTTTGTCCACAGACAGCTTTCCAGGTCATGTGGCCAGCATGACTAAACCACTTTCTGGTGCAACGGAACACCATGATGTAAGCCACAGCAAATGGAAACATTGTTTACCTTCCCACCACAGTGGTAACTATTTATTTACTTGCACTAGTATGCTTTCGAACTGCTAGGTTGACAGAAGCTGGGACAGAGCAACAGGAGCTCACTCCATCGCGCAGATTCGAAATGCCAACCTTCTGATTCGGCAAACCAAAGAGGCTCAGTGGTTTTCGACCACAGTACCACATGCGTTTAGGATCACACTAATAATAATAACGAT